TTATAATGTATTTGGAAGTCAATTTCATCGTTGATGGCAGTCATTGTGAGTTCATTACCACAGGGTTAGTGTTTTTTTTTTTTTTTTAATGCACATTTTGGGGTGTATTGCGTTTGACATTGAAAGGGTTGTAACAGGGGATAGCTAATTTTTTTTAGTATTTTATTTTTTCTTATCGAACTTTCCTCTCTTGTTTTGTGAAATTTATATAATGTTTATAAATTTGTTTATAAAATTTATAATATCATCATTGTCATTAGCATAAAATCCTTTTCAGTTAAAAAAATAAATACAGTTCAGTTGTCAAAGGATATGTTCTACTTTCCACCATTCACTATGACATTATGATACTATAAATACTATCTATGAATAGTGATTTTTTTTCTAATATCGAGTTTTTCATGTTATCTCTTTGTGACAAATTTTTCAAATCTTAAATCATTTAAAAAGCTTCACTATGATTATGTAATTTAATTAAACCAATGATTTTTTTTTCTGTAATTAAAGATACTGAAAGCTATAAAACATACACACACACACACACACATAATTTATTATAAAACACCATAATAATATTTATATTTTTAGATTATAATATAGGTGTAGGAGTATTATGATGTATATTTTAGACGTGTGTATCATCTTACGTTTATTCTTTATTTTAACGGAGTTTCGCTTTTGATTTTTCAATAACATTTATAAAATTAATTTTTCAGCCTATTATATTATATTTGTGTTCTGAACATTTTACGTTTTATTGTTTGCTATGTGTGTTGCTGTCGAGTCTTTGGGAATTATATTCAGTATATCGTGTAATCTAAAAAGGTATTTACACTGTACAATGCATGTTATAATACAATTTCATAAAAAATTGTTTTTTATAATTTAGTAAATTAGAAAGACATAGTCATTCTTTTAGTGATTTACATAAGTACTAATTTAAAAAAAAAAAAAAATTTTAAACTAAGTCAAGTTAATATTTTCTTCTATATTAAATTTTAACTTATCGATCTTGACATCTTATGCTCTTTTAAGTTAACTTAACTTCAATTAAATATTTTCATTAACTTGCCCACCTTTGATTATATGAAAAGTATATTAATATTGTTTGGAGTAAATTTTTTAATCATGTTTTTAGTGTGTTAATTCCTCATTTTGATGGCCATTTTTACCTAATAAGTGTGTAAGTCTTTTGTACCTATCAATGTAAATGACAAACGAATCGTACTTACTTAGCTATTCAGCTGTAATTTATCCAGATTGTAAATTCTAGACCGTTGTTATAATTATGACCAAATAAATAATTCCAAATTGGTTGGTGTAGGCTTGAATTATATCGATTAAAGTGGAAGGAGCTAACTTTACATACATCATTAAACGTCATCTGCAATTTAATAGCAAATATCATAAAAATTTTTTCCAATTTTAATTTTTTAAATAACTATAATTTTAATTAACTTATCGCGTTGTTATGATTTTATTTATTTAGTCAAGCGATCCACTTCCCAAAGATTTTTTTCCTTATTAATTTTCCACACCAAAAGTTATGATATTTTTTAGTGGTTTTAAAAACATTTCTCACTTTATTCTAATATACTTTTAATTTTTATATTGTCTCACGTTTGTGAATTTAACTTAATATTTAACGATTTTAAGGATATTTTATGTATAATATATTTTCCTTGCGCTATCTGGTGGTTCCTGTTGGTAACTTGTCATCAAATGATAAAAACTGTTTAAATTCTAGAATGCGGTGATGTAGGTACTATTCAGTAACTTAATCGATAAAAAGTACATTTTTACTTTTTTTTTTTTTTTAGATGACAAATCTACATTATTAGTATTAACTGTTCTATAAATAGCTATTACCTAATTTATGCAACTTGATATATACAAAATATTCTTTTAAAAATAAATAAAAATATAATAATACAACGATTTACACTGATGATATTTTGGTGTGCTAAAATTGACTTTATCCTTCTATTTAATGTAAGCAGTAACACAAAATAAATGTAAATATATTATAACAATATAATTATTTATTTGAGATTTAATAATATTAGTAGAATGGTATTATTTTTTTAACTATAAATTACACATATTCTATTGTAGGTACATATATTTTCTTTTTATAGTTTATTTTTTTTTAATTATTTAATCTTTAAGAAAATAATGATTATACCATTATTATATATTGTATTGGTTATACTACAATAATAGGAAAATTAAACATTTTTATTATTTAAATATTATGTCTAGGTACCTATACATAAATCTCTAATTGTTAGTCTAATTATTTAAGGTATATATTATACCGATCTATAACGATAAGTATATTATTTTATATTTTTTTTTTTTGTTTGTTTGTTTGTATAATATTTTTTATAATTCTTTTATTTTTATTATTTATATGATTAATTAACATTTATTTTTCTAAGTATGTGTTTGTAACTATTAAGTAATTGGTAGTAGGTACTAATCAGGTATCCGTTTTATTCAATAATAAATTAAACTGATATGTCTAATTAACAATAAATATCTTTTCTACTTGCATATTAAATTTCATATTCTAATTTAGTTAGAGACCGTAGTGTTAACTTCAAATCGCACACTACTAAGCTTAACCAGAATTTAGCACTAATAAAAGTAATAGCGCCACAAACAATCAAGCAATTGTGGTCCGCTCTATTACCGACGCATCTACGTTGGGTTCCAAGTTCTAGGACCCTAAGTAGTATAATAGCGGTGCAATATAATCGCTCCCAACCAATTAGCACGATCGAGCCTGTTTTACCTTTTTACCTGTCCTAAACGCAACATAATTGCGCTCCAATATATATATATGCGTGTGTCTCTTATATACATATATACCAATGTTTCTGAATTGCGGGAAAATATCATTAGTTAGGATAAATAAAATGTATTAATTTTTAGTGCATATTTTTTTTTTTTAGTTTAATTTGTATGCATTTATATTTAAATCAAAAATTGTTAAATATTGTCAAAATATACATAGTTAAGATTCAAAACTTTCCGGCATGTAATAAAGTAGACGACTAAAAAAATTATAATTATACAAATAATTGCGTGTAGCAATACATAAAAATAATATAAAAAATTTGTTAAAAAAAAAAACTAATTAATATACAAATGATTTAAAAATATATATATAATACTATGAAAAGTTATAAAAGTTATAATTAATAAAATATATTAAATGTAGTGCATATTTTTGTGATTATCTCGAATTGTTTCGATTAATCGAGTGCACGTACTATAATACCTGGTTATACAAATTGGGAAACTAAGTCTAAGGAAAATTAAGTCCGATTTTTAAATAGTGTATTGGAAAATTGTTAGAATATATTAAATATGTGAATGTAATGTACATAATATTTATATACAAGGGACACGAATATATGTATAATGAAGCGCAATCGTATTGCGTTTTTTATAGGTAAAAAGGTAAAACGTGCCCTATCGTGCTAATTGGTTGGGCGCAATCGTGTTACAGCCGTAGACTAGATGGGTCCCTAATTTTTACAGTTACATAATGGTAATCAGACCTAATTTTTAATTATTAATTTATTTTCATAACTCATTAGTAGATTACTACAATATTCAATAATAATAATAATAATAATAATAATAATCATAAAAAATAAAATTATTGATAGAAACTGTATTGACAAAAATATGTTTTAACCGCATATAATCATTACGTATGGTAACTACGTAGTATAGACTCCTCGCTCACATTATACAGTTTGTAACCTATTGCGTACAGGGATATCCTATTTATGCATATATTATCTATAAGTAATTAATTTAAATATTACATATAATTATTCGTTTTTTGATGATCTTAATGGTCGAATACAAAGAAGAAGAAGAAGAATTCGTTTTTTTTTTTTTAAATAAATACCTATAATGTAGTACTCACTGAGTACTTAAATAAGCAAAGTGATTTTTTAGTAATACGTTTTTGGGATTACTTTTTTTTTTATATAATATTAAATGACTAGAAAACAAAAATTAATTTTATATATTCAGAAGTAGAATATTTTTTGAGAATTTTAATACATTTTGTGGAGTACAAAAAATTATTTCAATAAACGTTATTAATACTATTATAGAAAACGAGAATTTACCTTATAATGAAATATAAAAAAAATCAAAAGACAATTATTTAGGTCACCAGTAGATGTTCAAGTAGTAGTTGTGTACTAATAAATTTTATTACTATTATCTGTATTATATGAAACTCTAACAAGTCTAACACAACTGTTCCAAGGCGACCTGTTTATATAACATCGTATACGTATGTTGCACTTACAAACAGTTAGGATTACTTTTTATATACATTTATAACATTACGTTTATTCATACATTTTTAGAATGGTTATTTTCAACGAAACATTGTTCCCTTTAGCAGTACAAAAATGTTCACGAATTAGATTGTAATTTTGATGCGTATGAAGAAAATATTGATTAGTCGGAAGTGGAGCGTTTCCACGTCGACGAGCGTTAGCTCGTTCGCGACCCGGGCAACCAACCCTGGTCTGTCTGAAGGGTGCATTATTTATTGATTTAGGGTGGTTATAAATTGCGCAGCGTAAATTTATTACACTTGCAAGTAAACTGCGCAACAGCTTGTTGGGTGAAAGTGGAAAAGTTGAAGGGGAAAAAACCATAGCAACATTGAAGTATATATATATATATCAATATATGGATTAGCTGCAGAAGTCGTGCAAACAATTGTTTACCAACTATATATTTTATTAATTTATTTATACGAAATATAGGAATATTCAAATTTTGTCTAACGATGAGAAATAAAATATTATTACGATAATATTATATTTTCTGTTGACTTAAAATTTGAAAATGTTTAAATCCCAATGAGTAAAACATCAAATTAATTTAGTGTTTTCAAATCACTGATTTTTAATATAATTGTTCAGGTGTGTACTGCAACGATTTCAGTCGTTGGACGTCGTGTTGTATGAGAGGTGATAATACAAACCCAATGAAAATTTAATGTACAAAAATATATTTGGCGTTATTAAAACAGAATATTAGTGAATGGTCGTCACGAAACTGATTATTATTTGTAAAATGTCACCAAGACCAGTCAGCGGCCATTTGTGTGCCGGTGACACCTGCTCGTCTCAACACTTCCGTGAACAAGTAAGATGTGGAAGTCAACCTAGACGTAATTCGTATCATTAAAAGACAGTTGATATACGAACGAGCATTGGCAGTATGCTCATTATACGTGAATGTGTATCATTTATAACTAGGGCTGTGAATTTAATGCACTAAAAACCCTTAAAAAACGCATTAAAAATGTCAAAAAAATGCAATATATAATACCAAAAATTATAGTATAAAATACACTTAAGATGGTTTTTAATTTAATTCTTTTATTTATATTGATATTTTAGGATACTATATATTTAGTAAATTACATTTCACATGTATAAAAATGTGTTTATTTAATAAAAAAAAAAAAAAAAACAAAATAAATTTAAAATGTTGATTGAATTTAAAATTTGTATAATGCTATATTCACCTGAAAGATTTTTTTTAATTGTTTTTATGTATTAATTTTGTTATTAGTTATAGGTTTTAAAAGATATTGGTTGACGGAATTTAATTAAAAATACCGCAAAATGAACTAAAAATAGGAAAATATGACCTAAAACTGCAAAATAAAAATTTCATGAATGGATTTGTTGTTACGTAATTTAAATTATGTGTTGACAAAACTACGTTTCTTAATCACCAAAAGAAATTCACTTTCCTACAAATTCACAACCCTATTTATAACTAAGGTTAGGATTTTTATTCCATTTAGATGATAAAATTAGTTTATCGATATGTTTATAACGATAAAAAAAAGCATACCAATTAAATGTAATTTTAAATATTACACCGACAATGCGTCGGTCTTTGCAAGCTTTTATCAATTTTTAACATAATGACGTATGTATAAAAAGTGCAACAATTATCATGCATTTGCATATTTTTTCTAGTTAACTTTATCGTATACTTATCGAATAGTAAATACACAATACATTTCACAACTTTATAATCAAGTACTATTAGTGTTTATTGCATATTTTTGAAAATGGTATTTACGAGTTTAATGGATAAATTTTTGATAAGTTTTTAGTGCATATTTTGATTGTTTATCGAAAATAATTAAATACTTCAATAAATATATTTTATGAATCAACGTCAATAATTATATTAAAATGTGATACTAATTTTGATCTTAATAGTTAGTGGGTAAATTAGATTAGATCTGTATTGGCCGTATTTTTGTTTTTTACATATAGATATAAATGTCCTTGCTTTAATAATAATTAATCGATAACTTAATAAAAAAAAAAAAAAATGAATGATGAACGATATCTTAATGCGTCTTATTGTATAGTTATTACAGTCTTTTGGTAAATTTTGAATTCAATGGAGCTTGAGGTGTATAACTATAACTTGTAGAATTTGTTACAAAAATCAAACGATCGTCGATGGAGAACCCAATGTAAATCTTTTTTTTTCAAATAGCTAATAACTTTTCTTAATAATTTGAGTACGTAACTGTCACAGTAAATAGTCTTCACGTATTATTATTAAATCTCTAAAAACAAATTCACGTTTTTCACTAAATTACTGTATAGTATATACAACTAGAAGTCAAAATGTAATGATACGCTAAGATGATAGACGCTTCAATTTTCGTTAGCGACATTAGTTACGCGTCTACCACTTAAGATAATTTTTATGAAATATTTATTGGCCAGATAAATTATTGAGTGCTTTGATATATCAGTAGTTGATTGTAGCATAATATGTATACCGGATCGATGAACATATGCATTTATATTATACATTTATAGGCTAATATCGATTGATAGTTATAATTTTATAAATATTATATTTTTATTATTATTATTATTATTATTATTATTATTATACCTAAAATAACCTTAAATTATATAAATAAGGAAACGAACGAAATGGATTTTCTGCCATTTATTATGTTGCACATAATCCAGATGGTTACATAGTGTTTAATTATATTATGTTAGTTACCAACAATTAAGCTTGATACATAAATAAACTTTTTTTATGTTATTTATTTAACTTTTATTATTTAATAAATTATTAATCAACACCAAAATATAAATTTAAAATAAGTTTATGCGGCTTGTGAAAGTTGTGACTATATTGTTAAAATACTTTTGGTGCTTTTGTAACTCGAGAAAAAAAACTTTGAGTGGATTATTTGAACTTTTCAACGAAGGAACAAAATATATTATGGAAAAAAATTAATATAAAAATACTGTGATATCCTACGTAATACGATGTGTATGATAAAGTACAGTGCATAATTTGGTTTTATACATTGTAATTAGGTATTCAGAATTTTAAAATGCAAATTGTTATGCTTTTGTTTAGTTCGTTATACTTGAACATATGATATAAATTTATCGAGTTAAATAGTCTTGAACGTCTTTTGTGTTAAATTATAATTATCAATATTTTGCATAATCATTATATTTCAGGGTTTTGCAATGTATGTCAATAATTACGTATTATACCTGTAGCATAGTTGATAATTGATTATATCATTTTTTGCTGTGACGCCTGAACTCAGATTATGTAGTTAGCAATCAATATTAAAAAGAACTTTCGTTTTTAAAATGTATGCTGATTCGATCCGGAAGGTTCAACCCTGAGACTTGAAGTGTGACGTCATGCATTTTATATATTTAAAATTAAACCATAAATAACTTTGATTTTATTAATTTATTTTGATAATAAAAAAAAAACGGATTGTTTTTGTCTTATTAAGTATCAAATAAAAATATTGTGAAAAAAAATTATAAAATCTCAGCGAGTTATTGTGTTTATAATAAAAAACATATAAAGTTCAAATAAAAATGTAGTAGGTGTACAAATCTAAGACAGTTTTTTTTTAATTATGTAAACTCATACACAGTTTTATATTACGCAATAATTGGCTGTGTACTTTATTAAAATAATGTCTAACAATATTATATTACGGGTTCGTATTGCATATAATGTTAGGTATGTGTAGACCGGGATGGGTAAATTGGCTCGCTAATGACTTTTTCTCGGTTAATTAGGCGCCGAAAACAAGCGGTTGGTAAGAAGAATAACAGAAAAAATAAATATTGTATGTAAATCAAATGCCGGAAAAACAAATTATATATTTTTTAATATCTAACTATCTCTTTTAGAAGTCGAATCAATAATAGGTATATATTATAATTGTGGTGTAAAATGTATAAATTAACTATAACTAAGATAAATTTCGCGTGCTTTCCAATAAATAATATGATATAAAAATATAGGTGTTACGATAATGGCAGTGTATATAAACAATAGTCGAAGGAAAAAACGGGATTAAACCTAACTATTACTTTTTTTTTTTCTTTTTTTTTTTTTTTTTGTCACGGAAAATTCACCGCTTTCAAAGTGCTCGTAAATTATTGCAGACCCGAATTTATTTAGTACCGTGTAGACGGGTGATATTTACTCAACGCCGGGCTCAGCTCCGTCGTCTCTTAACCACCCCATTTCCACACCGGACGCGAAAAATCAATACAGCGTCATTCATCCAGGGTCAGCTTATCCAGGGTTTCAGAGCCTGTATACTCTGCTGATAAAAATGGGTCGTGATGAACCTGCGCGTTCGTGACGCTTGTCGTACCTCTGGTGTCCTGGACAAGAGTCATTTCACTCTCGATTTCACGTTGTCACACGTCTGTGTTGACAACGTTGAAGTTTTCGTTTTCATTTTCGTATTTTATTATTATTATTATTATTACTGTTCTATGCTCGTCTAATCTTCAAGATTTGTACACGTTCTCGACGCGTTCCTTTGAGATTGGAATGTATTTCTTGCAAAACCTAATCAACAACTGAAGTTTCTACAATATACAAAGGTCGTATTTATAATATTATCGAGCTTCGCAACAAATATTTTTTAATTTTTATATAATTATTGTTAATTGAAAAATGTGATACGATATCACTATAGTTTTAATTTATATATTTAAGTTATTTTTAAGTAATATAATTTATATACATGATATTATGTATAATATACAGTGATTCACCCCGCATGTTTCCCTCCCTCCACACTATTTTTAAACATTTATGTACACTTAAAGACAACATTTACAAATACGAATTTAGATATTTTTAATATCATTTAAGGATTATCTTGTGATGTACAAATAAAATAAAAATATAGTAAAAATAAAAGTATATACACAGTACGACCTGTACTAACATTTGCTGATAACATTATATGATTGATAACATAAACCGTGATTATAATAACTAATAAGCAACAACTACTACAATGAAACTTTTGAATAGCGGACACTTTCAGTCACAGAAATTTTTGTCCGTTGTTCAGAGGGGATACATTTTTAAAATCCATAAAGCGTATGTATGTATATTGTATAATGTTATTAATTATTGCAAATTATTACATTTTTGCAAATTATTATTAATTATATATTATTTTTTAAATAATTTTTGTGAGAAAAAATCGGTGAGCTTTGTCTGTTCATAATTACACTATCTCTATACAATCTCAATAATAATATCATTCACTAATATTACAGCAAAAGTGAAAATAGTACTGCTTTTTACCTCTATAGATGAAATAAAATGATTTACAGTCTTACAGTAGATAAAGCGTCCTGTAAACTTGTTATTTGATAGTGAAACCATCACTAACTGGCATATTTTTGTCATAACACTCGTAACTCTTTCACCGATAACCAAATTCGTCGTAAATTTACCGTCCCATAACGAGTTTGTTGTCGTAATTATATTATTACGAGAGTACCTACATACGAATGTGAATACATATTATTTTCAAATAAAGATAAAAATAATGTCAGCTATTCGGAGATTTTCCCATTAAAAGTAGTGAAAATGTTCCCGTTCCCAAAAAAAACGTCCATTATTGAGTGGTGTCCGCTATTGGGAAGTGTTCGTTAATGGAGGTTTTACAGTTTATTATATTATTATTTAGAAATTATATAGCCATTTAACACTTCATTTAGTATCCTAGTAGAGGTACCTACTTATTATCCTCTAATAATTTTTTTACAAATTATAAAATGTTAATAGATTGAAATTAATTAATTAATTAAAAATCAATTTATCGTTATATACTTATTCACTCCTACAGATACAGTTTTTTGAAATAATTTTTTTAATTTCTCTTAATTGAAGTACTTGTAACAAGATATTGTAGAGATTTTCATCAGAAAAGTAAACACTTTTCTTTAAATATGACTCATATTTTTTAACTCATATTATAAAAACCATTACTTTTGTGAAAATTTACATTGGAAAATATCAAAATCGAACTATTGATTATTATTGATAAGCGTTTGAAATAGGTGGTGGACCCATTCCTAATTACAATCTATTAACCCATACAGTAGTACGAGATATTCTCTGATGCAGTGCTGCACTTAATTAATTCAAACTCCGTTTGTTTTGATACTTATATTTCACTACAGGGCCGGCGCAAGAAGTATTGGCGTTCTGGGCGAAACCATGTTTTGGCGCCCTTACAACCCCCTCTCCACCCGGCTAGTTTGAATAGTAGTAAAATTAAGTTTTTTAGTAAGTTAAATAAAACTAGTGTGTATTTTGTAACATAACTTTAAACTTTATTACCTGATCATAAAATATTGTAATAAAGTTATACATATTATTTATTAAATTATAAAATTGCAGCATTTCGTAAAAAAAATTTCATATATTAATAATAATTATAATATAATATTATTATAAATAGTCAATAAACCACACGAATTATTGTGCAATAGCAATCATCACAATACACTCTATAATATTATAGTATATAACAACGGTCGTCACTGCTTATAATATAAATATAATATTATAATACTGTGTTTCACTAATTACTTATTAACTAAGACAACCAGAGAACGGAATTTATTGTAAATAAAAAATCAAAATATTATGTACAAATTTACTAAACATAGTATATGAATATTGCAGTGGATATTTTTAACAATTATCACTGGGCGACATTAAAAAAAAAATTTACACACGTCATATCAAAATCAATATATGTGCCTAAAAAATACTTTTCAGAATTAAATATACACAAAACCTTACTAATATCTAACAATACCATCAAAACTCACAATACATAAACGAGTACAAATAATTTATGTGTAAAACTTACTCTTTTTAGTTAATAAAAGGAATCAATAACATACAGTACCAGCTATATATTTTGTTATAAAAGTATAAAAAACAACATAATATTTAAAGTAAATATAAGAATTAGCTTGTAGGAACCAGGACTAAAATAAAATCGAAAATAATTTGTATATATTTATTGGAATGACTTATGACCAGATGAAACATGTCACATTGTCGCATAGAATAAATTGCTTCTTGTGTACTATATTAGGTATTCTATGAATACCTACCTAAGGTGATCGGTCACACGGGTTTTCCATTGTAGAAAATTTCAATAATTTTTTGTACTCCAAAATTCAAATGATTGAACGATATAATATAGATATAAATAAATAACAAAATTAAACATAAGAAATAATTGTATAATAGTTTAAAACATTGTAATTTTTGCAAATAATCGTTGTCGCCCTGTAATTAAATATTTAAATATATGGTATATTAATTAAAATATCCAATGGAATATTGATTACCTGTTGGCAGTTACTTGTTAGTCTATACATTTGATATTACACAGCAGACCGTACGGCGTACGTTGCGAGAACTCGTCGAAAACAATAAATAATTGTGTGTGTAGTTTACTATAGTGTTTTTCAGACGAATGTGTCTTTATGATTTACGCTACACTGCGGAATTTTCGCCGTAAGGTCCAAATAGTTGTTACCGCCACGATTTTTCTTACGATTCGAGACGTATGAATTTATTTATAGATGGTAAATATTAGGTATATGAAATTAATTATTACGGCCATATCTACCTGCGGTATCGATGCACTGATATATTCCTACATTATACAAATATGAGACAATTGCAGATGCATCTTCAATTAAAACGACATTAGTTAATGAATAATTCAAATTGCATAGATTTTAAAATACGTATTAAAAGATAAATTGAAAAATAAACAATTTTTAGTTTGGCCCCCTGGGCAGTCGCCCAGGTCGGCAATAGCTTTCGCCGGCCCTGATTTCACATCATACAAAATAATATTTCATTTCAGAATAAAAATAGCAGTTAAAAGTACCTAGTAATGAAAAGTATAAAAAAAAAAACAATTATTGTATATTTGTATAATAAGTGGCGTAATTGCAGGGGGAAAGGGGAGCATTTGTTCCCCTGACAATTTTATAATAAGCAAAAGTATCATTCACCCTCCTCCCTGATAATCAAACAATACAAATACACAGGGTTTTTATCACGGTAAATAAATTATTTTGCTCCCCCTCTAAATTTTTTCCCCAGTTACGCCACTATGTGTAATATTTTCAAAATTATAAAAATTTATAATTCGAAGTACGATACCTATAGTTGTTCGCTTTTTTTAACTGTATTAAACAATAATTTACTTATACTTTGAAATTGTAAATTTTATATTACATGTTTAGGAAGACTTCAAAGAAGACACCGACAAAATGGAAGAACTGGACCATGAAGAGGCTGATAAGTAATATTAAAATAATAATAACCACTTAAAATCATCCTTATATCCCACCGATAATCTACTTCTTTTTAGAATATAATCCACTTTTTTAATTAAAAATAATCATTAGATATGTAATTAAACATTATGTTTTTCCTTTGCACATTTTTTTATATAACACGTTATAAATGTTAAATTTTCATAATAATTTTTTACAGTTTATTATATCTCTTAATAACTACCTCCCAAAGACTAGGTCACTATTAAATAATAAAAAACATATTACTACGTACTATCGTTCATAATACAATTTAATTTCACTTCTTGAATGATCGTAGATTTTTAGACGCTAAGCCTGAAAAATTTAGCTTAATAATGTATTTGTTTTCACTCGTAAAAATTACTATGTAATGATGGATATACAATAATTAATTAGTATTAAAAATAAACAAATAATAATACAATGTTTATTCTTCTTCTTCTTCTTCTTCGGGTAAAACGGCCGCTAGGATCATCCCGTCAAACATTCCTCCCTCCAGCCATCTCTGTTGGATGCTCGTTCTTTCCACTCTGATCCTCCACCTAAGGCACTTACATCTTTTTTTACCAGATCTTTCTTGAATGTTTATACAATAAATAATATGATTAAATATTAAGCAAAATAATAAACAAATAAATTAAAATACATGTACTTAATACCTATGTGTTTTTCTAGCAATCCAAATTTTGCTGTCAAATTTAAAAATACTGTGAAAAACATGGCCAATTATTTGAAGTCTGATGGAAATCGGGCGTAAGTTACTTATAATGGCATCATTTGGGTGTCAAAATTATATTATATTAAAATAAATTATAAAGTTATAGATGTTTGTTTAATGGCATTAGCACGATTTGTGGAGCAAGTTCAACAGCTCAACCTGAGAATGATGCTAATGCAGGTACAAGTGATGGTGATGATGGAAGTACACGTGAAGGTCATCTTCCGAAATGTAAAGGTTTAAGACTTGGAGATGACTCGGATATTATGAGCGTGGTATCTATTACTCAAGATCACATTGGTAAGATCTATTTGTGCTATAATAATTTATATACATCATATATTGTATAATTTTTTTTAAATATTTGGACAATGTTTAGGTTTTTTATAGCTTATTGAATAATATCATCATCTGGTTCAAATTATATTTGTTAAACATTTAATTAGAGTTTATTAGTTGAAATAAAGTAGAATTAAATTTTTAAAAATATTAACTAATATTTGGAAAATACCATTTAAATACTTCAATGATATTACAATTTTTAACCATATCACTCAAATAATACATACCTATACAATATACATATAGTATTAAATTATATTTTTTTAACGAATAACTATACAAATTCGAATCTTAAAAAATTATTTTATAAGTAAATTTTATTTATACATTAAACAAAATCATTTTATTTTTATTATTAGTGTTTTTATGTTTCTCTAATGTGAGAACACATCAGTATGTAATCCGCATCTTTTTAGTAGAGTTTAAAAAAAAAGTTATTTTCTTACATTTATTATAAAATAAAAACGAATCGACTATTATAATATATATATTTATAAAATCTAGAATCAAGGTCCAAAATCAATAATTTTGCATTTCTTCTTTTACACACAACATACAAATTGGTCGTCATAAAGGGTTACCTACTCAAATAGGTACTATGTTCATTTTGTCGAGAATTTGTTTTTTGTTTTTTACAATTTGTATTATTTTGAAGTTAGCTGACTCGATTTTTGACCACTAATATTAACCCAATAAAATTTTACAATTTACATTAAACCTAATTACTTTACTTTTTGTAAACTATTAATTAAGTTTTTTATTTTTAGATAAGCAACTCCAATGTAGTGTTTGCTTGGAGGAGTACAAAATGGATGACGTCGTGGTCAAATTGCTTTGTGACCATGTATTTCATTATAAATGCGTCATTTATTGGATTCTTTTGGTAAGGCGTTTTTTTTATTTATTAGTAAATATTTATTGTAAATTTATCGAAACATGTGGTTTTTTCGTTGGCTTTGTACACATACATTTCAATAAATTTCATTATTCCAATATAGGTTACCTACGTATGTATATATACATACATATATATATATATAAAAGAAAGTTTTTTAATGTAATATTTCAATAAGAAATCCGTATCTATTACTACACAAAGTCATGATTGCTTAAAATAAACATAATAGTGTAATGCATTGTGCACATAATATAATATATGCATGTATTTTTTATAAGATAAAGTTTCAGTAAGATCGTTTAATCATTAAATTTAGCAACTTAAAGTTCTTCTTAGAAACGAGCTAAAAGTTCAAATTCGAGTTCAAGACTCGACAAATACGTCGAGTAATATTATTGTTTATTTTTAGAAAAGCTATAATTTACAACAGGGGCGGCCAAACAGTCGATCGCGATTGACCGGTTGTTTGCAAACGATTTCAAAGTCGATCGTGTTAAAATTTATTTTAAGCTACGCACACGAAAATTAATAATGATGGTAAAGTAATTTAATAATAAAAAAACTCTTTTATCGAAGTTGATCCTCAAAGGTGAAGTATATTTTTAGAAGATCGCGGCCAAAAAAAGTTTAACCGTCCCCGATGTACAATATCAATATAATAACACGTCAGAATATTAAAATTTGTACTAATCAATTTCTACAATACTATGAAACACATATTACATCATGACGGTATACTTTTGAAAACTAAGTGTTCGGCATAATACACAGTGCGTGTAGTTAATGAAAAAAATTTTAAATTAGTTATATTGCACAGGTATTTAATAAAGGTACCCTTGCAATAATTCGGAAACACACGAATTATCTTCCCTCACTCCTGTACACCACTGCCGCTGATAACCTCGCATAGCTACCAGATGTCCTATCCAGTGGCGTAGTTATGGGAGAGGGATATGAAGATAGATCCCCCAAAATCTTTTCCATGAGTTTAATGCATTGAATATAATATTATAAAATTACCCATATTATGTTGTAATTAGAGCACAGATATTTATACACTAAAATAGTAAAATATCGAAATATACCATATAATATGCAGTATAAATCATAAAAATATGCTAGAACATTTTTTTATCATTTATATAGAATTAACAAATTAAAAAACTTAAAATAATTAATTACCTAAATATATAAAAAAATTTCACTTTAATATGCAATACGTTTCGAATTTTGTAAAAATATGCAGAAATATACTGATGAAATTTCACCATTAGATTAAAATTATTATGATTCGTGAAGATAACTGACAAAAATCCAAAAAAGTTAAAAGGAAAAAAATACACGATTGCACATAAAAATGCGCGCTCTAGTTATAATCACGGATTTAGGACTATAAGAGTATATTTAGGGTTATAAGCTCACCCTCCTAATTTATATTTATCCAATAAATTATACATCTTTTATATTAATTATATAACCAGAACAAAATCATGACTACACCACCGACTCTATTGTGTCCCAAACGCGATCGACGAGCAATCAGGTTCTTTTTACCATTTATTTATGATTTTTTTTTTTTACGTTGTCGCAGCACGGTACGTGTCCGGTCTGTCGCAAATATTTCTGCGCCGGCGAGCTCCATTTGCCGCAAGAGGAGGAAGGCCACGTCGAGCCTACACTATCCTTGAGGCAACGCGTGTTCCGGACCCTTCGTTCGCCACTGGTGTACTTCTTTCCAAGTCTCAGCCCCCCGCCCGTTGTCTCTCGGAATACTCCGTTGTACAGATTGGTGCGTGCGGAAGAAGTGCATTCAGTAGATACGGTTAACCGAGCAATGAACGAAACCCGTGATATGAGCGAAGATTACATCTTTTATCACGTCATGTATATCATGCGGAACACGCAAAACGAACGTCGCCGTCGTCCGTTCAACTTAGAGGATGATCCCGTAGCCATGCGCATACGCAAACGCTTCAGCCGCTTGCAACGCATGGAACACGAGTATGCCCAGATCTCACAGAACTCGGAGGACCCACAGAACCCGCAAGAGCCACAGAACCCGCAAGAACCGCAGGACCCGCAAGAGCCGCAGGACCCACAGGGCCCACAGAACCCGCAACCGGAACAATTGTTGTTCGAGTTCCCGTCGGATGTTGTCACGGCCGAGTACCTGGGCCATTACTGAGCCTGCGAACAGCAGCCGTAGTTAGTCGCTCGCCGGACAGCGGCAGAGTATAGCACGATAGTAACAATAGTAGTCTGCAAGATCGTTAGTCGACGTACCGCGTGTACGTTATAGTGTGTAGTAATGTTTTAGCGTACGTGTTCAATACACGTGATGTTAGTGATGAACAAAGTTCATCTGTAGTGAAACCAAAAAAAATATAAGATATAATAAAAACGACAAAAAAAGTAATATGGTTGTGTATTTATTCCTCGGGTTTTTCGGACGACAGCGATGACTGCCGGCAAAATGGTAATCGTTTAATCTGGAAAAAAAATAATATTAATTTATAACCATTTTATAACATAGGTGTGTGCGTGTGAACTAATACATATTGTGATACTAGCTGAATTACCCAGCTTCGGCTGGGAGGTTTTTGATGAAAAAAAAAATGAGGTTGAAAATACTACTATTTTCTTTGTATTAAATCTCTTCAGTGTATATAAAACGATAAAAATAAAGATAGGAAATAAAACGTACTGACACAGACAAAATAATATTGCGTTGCTCTGTTGAAATCTCTATTGTAAATGCGAATAAAAACGGATAGAGATAACGTTTGTACGTAGAATAAGTACCTATGTGACATTTGTATCGGATTAGTGTGTCAACGGCAAGTATTTTATCGTTTGAATTTGTGTTATTAAAAATTTCGAATGTTCGGTGTACATAGTGCTGGTGTACACGCGATGAGCGAGATTATTTTTACCGATGAACTTCTCGGAACAATTCATATTCATTATTACACATCTAATGTCAACATCAAACACATAATTTGATGAACAAAAAGGTCAAATTACAGGTAGTTAAAGACCCGCAGGTCACACGCCGTGTCGCATCATATGTATACAGGTACGTTTCACACATATATTTTAATTAATTAATAATTATTTACTAATTATTTACGAAAAATAATAATGCTCTAAAAATAAAATGTATAAAAAATCTTCATTTATTTTATAAATGAATTCCCCTCCCCTAAAAAAATATCCGGGGACGCCCATGATTAGCCAACCCTTAACGAAGATTCCATTTTCACTTTTGTATAATATTATATAGATGGGTTATTAATGAATCAATAATAATAATAATTATACAGTTATAAATTAGTTAATCATATTCACAAATCGTGTAAGAACGCTGTATTTCAATGTCAACTTTTCGTATTTCTTTCCTTTTCATTAAGCACCTATATGAAATTATCATTATTCTCTTTAATTACTGTAAGTACCTATATGTACGAGTATTAAAATATAATATTACACTATTTTATATTATAAGTTATAACCCTGAGAAAACAGCGATTTTAATGTTTATTTTAACTTTCATGCGTTTAATCAGTCTTGTGAAGTGCTAATATTAAAGTATTTACATCCTTTTTGAGGACTCAGTTACATATTTTTAATACTTTTCAAAATATTTTTATTCAAAACTAATTAGTAATTTTGAAATATTATTTAATTCTAGTATATTATATATTTTCTAATTTCAATTTAATATCGTTAAATAAAAATAATATTCAAAATATTTAATAGTAATGCATAATAATAATACCTACGTATGTTTTTGTAACATTTATTTTAGTGATTTAGTCATGACTCATGAGTATGGCTCGAGTTTTTATACGATAAAAAAGTCAAAATATGTTAATACCTATTTATGTTCTTATTTTTACTAAAACAGGTATGTATTAAAAATCATGAAATATTTAATAAAAAAAAACTTAGTTAATAACATACATTTTTTTAAATTTTGTTAATGAAACTCATAGTCGTTGTTGTTTTCTTGGAAACAATTTGATACAATAACATACATTTGGTGATTTTAAAATTTAAATGCTCAGCGTCTCAAAATTTATTTGTAGCGCAGCTGAAAGACGTTCAACGTCGACCTAGGATAATAATGTAGCATATTTCGTACTTGATAATATTATATCAGTGTGTTTTATCAGAAATATATTTAAAAATGGGTTTTTTAATTTAGTTTGTTGAATATCACTTAATTAATGTGTGGCTTAAATCAGTATTAAAAATTGACTTGCTGTTCGAAAATGTTTACTCGAAGTTGACAAATGATTTACGTTCGTTAATTTCGATAGCCCACGGAGCCCACGGGCTAAACGATTTTGAATAAAATTAATAAAAAAATAAGGTATGATAATAGTTGTACATTCTAATGTACGAGTACCTACTCGTACATTAGAACAGGTACCTGTTCAAATGTTGTAGTAGATCACTTTTAAAATATTTTGTATTGCTGTATTAAAAACCTATATTTAGTTGTAACTTATGAGAAACTTTGTGTTCAATTTTCAATTATTACTATTAACCATTAGGTATCATTATCAATGTGTCATTGCCATTATTATTATTACAAGAAATATAATCTTTAACATAAAATAATGGGTGTGGATGATATTTCGAAAAATATTCTAAGTTATGAGTTTTTATGGTCTGTATAATCATAAATGAGTAACAAATAAATAAACAATTATATAATGCACATAAAATTATATTACTTAATGTAATACGATTGTACTATCTTAATTTATTAAAATCGCTTAGTAGGTACCTACTCTAAACTGATGACTTAGATTATGCGTTCGCAAAAGTTATTAATCCTTTAGATATATTTATACACATACATGAGCACACTTCACACATATATTACAAATACATGAAACGTATAAGAAACTATTATTATTATTTATCATACAATATATTTATAAGTCACGCATACAAAGTTTAAGATAATTACATATCGAGTAATATTCGATATAAACTGACACAAATGTCCACTAGCATAATTATTTTTTAATGACTTAACAATCCTAAAAATTAATATGTTAGTTGTTAAAACCAGGTATTATTTTAACTTTTTATGTAGTTGTACCTATAAATAAACAATGAAATGTAATACCTACCTACATCTATTTTTATGAGTAACGTTTCCATTGTTCGTAAGAATTCATCTGTATAATTTAAGATTATATTTGGTTCTATGCCAAACAAACTGTCGAGTAAAAATGTCATGATTATTTATATAAATGCGACAACCAAACGTTCAAATGTGATTCTGCAGACATGACTATACGAGGGTGATAATGAGTAGGTATATTATCTACCTATAAACTATTAAATTATATGTGAATTTATTTTTACATTTAAAAAAATTTATGAAAAAAAAATATCATCGTTATTAGTTTTCTGAACATGTCATCAAAATTCATTCAAAAATCATACAAACCTTATAAATTATAATAAAGGCTTAATAAACCATTGGACCTTTGGGAAGGTAAGCAAACAAACAAAATATAAACATTAATGTAAAAATAATAACACAGATGAGTTTTTCGAATGCAAAGGAATAGAAACAAAAAAAAATCGATACATAATTTGGTTAAACCGTTTTTATTTTGCCAAGGACTATGGTCTATGAATTTAAAACCATTTATAAATCGCAGTAATATTACAAATAATATTTTGAAAAGCGAACTATATAGGTAATTGGTCTCTTCGAACGTTATCAGTTATCACTGATAAATATTCAGTGTTAATGATTATATTGAATAACGGCTAATGAGTATTGACTATTGAGTAATGACTGGCGAATGCTCGCTGACTTACAAATATTTTCACTACACTTTAATAATTTTTCATGACTTAACTACACTATTTAAGTGGTTAATAAACACGTTTTCACGACATTAAAAACTATTAACTTTATGATATTGATATAATTTTGTTTAGAGATAGCACACTGTTACAAATATGGATTTTACTAGTGAATGTATTAAATAGGTACCTATATACTTACCTATTTTTCTATAGTAAGTAAATTACAGAATTAAATATCCCTTAGGTACAAAGTAAATTTATTGTAACTCGTCTTCGTGTATTAATCATGAAGAATCTTGAGTAAGTGGTACCCATAAGGCTACGTATGTCTAAAATGTTCAGATTTCTTTTGCTAAAAATTTTATAAGTGAAATAGCTTGAATAAAATGACGGGCATATCATCAGGTATATTATCATTTGATTTGTTTATTATTTTATTTTCACTTTCAATTATTTAGAAAGTAATACTTCACAAATAATACCTATTTACATGGTAATAATATTGCTTGCAGTAATAGAAAAAAGGTATTTACGAGTATAAAATTAAATAATATGTATATGTCATACATAAGAGCAGTTGTTTATGATGAAGTAGACAATAGTTTTTTTATTTGACATGCACCTTGTGTACTTTTTCATATGATAATTTTTAGCACTACTATTACAAAACAAAAAGGTGATTGTATACTGAACATGTTATAATGCTTTTAAATAATTTTATACAATAGTCGATAAACATTCATAAAATCAAAAATTGAAAAATTAATATAAATTAATAGTTATACATGATTATATGTATACAAAACAGTCTATACCATCAATAAGCTAACATGCTAATTATTAGTTATAACTTATAAAATATGATAGCTTATTAACGACTTGTCCATTAAAAACGGAGTGACAAAGCCAATTTTTAACCATTTTACCATGGACCAGGTATTGTTGCTTGGATTGTACACTTCTATTGTAGAAAACTTGATGGTTTAGTTCTTCTGCCCATGACGCATAATAAACCATCTAATGCGACTATTCTTACATAAAAATATTATTATGATTATTTTTTTTTTTATTTATGATCCTTGTAAAATAATAATAATATTTACAAAGTTTCTATCGGTTTAAATACATATCAACGATAAAATGCCATACTCTTCTTCACTTGGTTTATAGACCTCAACTTTTTTATAGTATACTGATGCTTTACAGCCATCAGCTACCAGCAGCATACATAACACCATTCAAGATCCCTGTAATAATAAAATCACAATATTTATTAACAGTTCTGCAACTGGTATCCACGTGTCAGATGTGGAATCATAACATTTAACAAACTTCAAATATTTTAAGCCATTATTTCTTCCTGCCGACAATTAAATTTTAATGATACGTTTTATAAGTTTATATTATAGAAAACTAAAATATTTATTCATTGCGTATAAATGACCATAGAGTACACCAACACCAAAATCACTTCTATTGAAATTCATACTAGACACCATTCTTTATTTTTTAATAATGGCATTAAAAACTTCTACATTAATTAAATTACTACAATATCACTATCAAATCTACCAATCTAGAATTTAATGCAATATAATTAATAATGTATACTTAATTAAATAAGATCAGCGGGGTTGGCAGTTTTATCTTTCATTTTTTTTTTATATCCATTAATTTGATGTACCATCTATCAGAGTACGATTATCATAGGATCTCATAATAGATCTTGGATTCTTTCTTTTTATAGTAAGCCCAAGAAATAATTGTTATAATTTTTATGGTATTAAATCAAATCAAAATGATATAGTTTCAATATTTTTATAACATTTAATACTGGTAGCATTTATATTAATGTATTGACTATAAATGTTATAGATAGTTTAATTACATTTGGCTTAATTTTTGTTATTTTATAGCTAAAAATCATAACTATCGTTAACTGTCTTTAATTGTGTGAAATATAAATATTTCATAGCCCACTGGTACACCTAAGATCATACACTTATGGTTATGTAGTTGACAAGAAATTTAATACTTTAAAATCAGTCGTAAGACCTATTTTTCTACAACTGTGCAATATCTATACCTAAGTATCAATAACTACTTTATTATGTTGATTTAAAAAAAAATATATTTGAGCTCATCAACTATACATTCGGGGGGAGGGGGATACCTTGCTGGACATGCCTTAAATTACAATAACATATGTAATCCCTTTAAGCTGCCACTGTATATATTAGAATGTGATTTATTACAATTTAGACAATATGATCTTCCATAGAATGTATTAAAATTTACTAACTATCTATTTTGATTAGGCTTACTTTTTCTTCATACAGAACAGCAAGATTCTAATTTTTGATAATTACTTAAAAACTCGTTTAATGATTTTGAACAGTTATGTATGTCAGCAAGTTTCCTTATACCAATGCAATTTAGAGGATCTAATTGTATTTTTAAAAACTTAGCACATACTACACACACTACTTGCAAGGTTTAACTGTAATTAAATTTGTAGCTGGTCACAAAACCTTCATAAGTCAACATCAATGAATTTCGATAAATTTTATAGAAGTAAATAATAATTCAAATAATTGTTTATACCTTTACATCTTCATAAGTGATCATAACTTCACCAATATAAGTACAATCTACTATTGATTCTATAGCAGATGAATTAAATTCTCCTATGTGAACAAGATTTTTATTATTTTCACTAAGACAACTAAACATAATACGAAAATATGGGCTAGCTGCTGCTAAAACATTTTCATGTCCAAGTACAATAATGTACCATCATCTGTTTCCAATTTAATGACGCATAAATGTCCACTTCTAAGAAGAAAAATATGATACCAATAATTTGGGCTTAGATTTTGCAACAAAATAAATTCTTAAGATAGTATTTAAAGCCATTAAAAAAACAAAAGCATTTGCTTAATTTAAAAAACAAATTTATGACTAAATATTTGGTCAAGTTTTTTTCGCAAAAACTTATCCTCTTGGATATTAATATATTTTTGTATATTTAAAATGACCTAATTTTTGGTATTTTGACATTAGACTTAAATTTTATAGAACACTGTTTATATTAATTGATTGCCATTTACCAATCAATTGAAGATGCTATAAAAAATATAATATGATAGATAATTTTCCTTCCCCTAAAATCATAGTTGAAACTTTAATATTATTGTCGTTTTGATAACTTTAATAGTTATTTTATCACTAATCCATTTACTATGATTTAACTTATAAGAATTATCTTTTTATCACACTCTCTGCCAAAGTGGGCATTTATTACAAAATTCTAGTACTACTTATAATATTTTTCCAACACCTAAAATTTATCTTAACATACTTGAGTAACGATTGTAAGTTTTCAGGTAATCCAGTAACAGAGTAATCGCTGATTTGAAAAATATTTGTAATGATATTTAAAATTTGCTTTATATCACTTTCACATGATGCCTCTTTCTATTTTATTTACAGTATATACCCAAAACCTTTTAAAATGTATTAAAAATAATTATTAAATTGCATATAGTTACTGTGTTAAGACTTCAAACTGAATACTAAATTTAAGTTTATAAAAACTATACATACAAATGCATGAATTAAGAAACAACAAAATAATTCATGTAAATAACAAATAAGTTTATTAAATTAAATTCAAATTTTTATTTATACCTAAATTACTAAGTTATTATGAAAATAAATACTAAGTAGTTAAATATGTTTGTACATTATACGCAAACTGCCAAGTATAATATTTCAGTTTCTTAGTTGTTGGTACAACAAATTTTGCAAGACATTCTAAAATAATTTCTCAGTCACAATATTGTTGATTCACTTGTAATATATCTAATGTAATGGAAAATAGAAACAACAAGAAATGATAATTTTCTAATTATTTGTTTATTTTGATTTATGTACTTATTTTATTTAACTAACAATTACCTATACTTTTCATGCCTTTAAAACTTATATTCACTTTAAATAGTTTATTTCAAATACATTTTGAATTTTTTGAAAACTTGTAAAAAAAAAACCCATTATTCATTACAGATAATATTTAATGAAATTGGCTTATTACTTAATTGCTAGAATAATTAACAAATATACTTAAGTAAATAATGAACTAGTAATTTACCTATTGTAAAAATAATATACATATTTTTAAATTTCAGATACAGCTAAAAATGCTAAAAATTAAAAAATTAAAGTTTCACTTTTGAAGAACAGAAATAAAAATGCTTTGAAATCTGGTATAACTTATTACCTATTAACATCAAATATAAATTATTCATAATGATGTTCTAACATCAATAACACTCCAAATCTTATAAAACATATGTATTGTTATTATTGCAGGACTTAAGTTTCTGATATAGGTCTTGTTAATTTTTTATGGTCTATTTCAGAATTAATTTGGTAAAACATTCTTTTCAATTTTATAAGTGTAAAATCTAATGGAGCATCTCTAGATAAGTATTCAGCACACTTACAAACAAATGCTATATTAATTTTATGATCATCTTGTCGTGGCAAATCATTTACATTTATTAATAACCAATCTTTTGGATGAAAATCTTTTCTTTTTTTTTTTTTATCAAGAAATTCGCTTATTAAGAAATTCATTATTAACTTTAAGCATACCAAATTTTGTCCTCCAAGATTATCATAATATTTAATAAATTTTTGTATAAAATTTACATAAACTAAACCACAAAGATTTTTTTCTTCAAATATAGCAGGGATGAATAGTTTATGTTTTGAGAATATATCAATTTTTTCTGTATGTTTTTTAGCTTCATTGTATCCATTTTTAGATAAATTGATATAAAATTCTGTATTGAAAGCATACACTGTATCAGGAGAACGATTTGTGATCAACTCCATATATATGTTTAGTTTTTCATAGCTTATTGAATAATTTTCTGGTAAGAAATCATCCAACTCTTCATTATCAGAATTTAAACCTCCAGCCTAAAATCATAAAAATAGTTGATATGAAATATAGCTTGTTTCAAACATCTTTAAGATAAAACAATTATTAATATCTAAATTATTGATTTAATACATGATCATTTGTTTAACAAACGTTTCAAAAGTCCAAGAATGAAACTCTCGTCTTATGCTATCTACATTATCTTTTATTGCATAGTATGTTATCTATATTTCAGGTGATAACTACGGTGCCTGACATTGCAGGTATAACCATATAGTTATAAACATAAATAATACACTCTACAGCCTACACTTTACACTTAAGACTTTAGTATACATACAACTTTTGGTTTAGCTCGTAAAAGTAGTGTGTACTTAAATTAATTTTCAGATTAAATTATTCTATTACAAGTGAATTATTTTTAGTTGAATCAAAATGGAATATTATATTGATTTTTATAAACACATTATTTACAACAACAAAACGTGTATCAATTAAAAAAATATATTATAATTAACTCCAACAAACAATTGCAGTAGATACATTTTTAACGTAGATAACATATAATGCAAGTCCCCAAGAATGTGCAAATTAAATAACATATAAAAAAATGTAGTTAACATTAAACAATAAAATGCAAAATAATGAATCTAGACTTTTTATAAGACCATAATTTCAAAATTAAATTCAAGAAAAATTAACTACAAAACCACAATACTTTAAAAATAAAGGCATAGTGTAGATCCATTTGCCACTATCCACCAAATTTTTTAATAATTAGGTAAAAATAATATAATATTTATCTAAATCAACATATTATGAAGATTAAATTTTATTTTGTTAGAAAATTATTAAAAATAAACTTCAGTCATCAAACTTTCATAGTCAATAGTCAATGAATTCATTATAAACAGTGTGAACTTTTTTTATTTAAATAGTGTATCTGAATAATATTAAATATTTGTATATAGGTTAGGCCTACAATAACTTAAAAGTTAAAATACTTTATAACTTAGTACATAGTATAAAAATCTTTGTAGAACTTGAAACTAAACTACTGATCTATTAATTATTCTAACTAATAATTTTTTTCCGATGTCATGAATTAACAAAATAAACACACCTAAGTATTATTAAAAATATTATAAGTATAGATTAATAATATTAATCTATAATATTAATATTTTTATTATATTATAATAAAAATATACATTTTTATAAATATAATCAAGCTACATAAATTAAAATAAAATAATCATTGAAGTCAGTTTGATGAGCTGTAATTCAATCATGGTAAAAAAACAAAATTTAAAAGTTCATAAATTAAAAAAAAAATGTATAATTATTAATTTTTTTTTTTATGACGTATGAAGTTTTTTACTTAAAATACAAGGAAATTGTTAAATTAAGATTACTTGAAATGATAAAAATTATAAATCATTGATGGCACGCAGTAGTTTAATTTCATGGTTTCCAAATTTAATTCAAATATATTTAGATATATGATAGTGGTTCCATGTTTCTGTAGATATGAGTATAATCCAGGGCACATATTTTAAAAATATGTCATTTGTGTATATTTAATCACGATAAAATTCTAGTGTTTAATGCTAATGTACCTTCACGAGTGATTTGACATTTTTGTTTAACATAATTATATTTTTAAATGTTATATTAATTTTTGGTTAAATGTTAAAAATAAAAACATTTTCAACACCAATAAAATTAGTTGAATCACAGAAATATACTAGTAGGTATATCAAAAATATAATTAAAAAAAAAATAATAATAACAACAATAAAATATTTCAGAAAATATTTAAACAAAAGTTTAAAATTTTAATTGGAATGACAATACATAAATCTTAGATATAGCATAAAAAATGAACATTATATTCTCAGTAACATAATTTCTAATTACTTTTTTTTAATTAACACTCTATATGTTAATAGTTATTATTAATTTTTATTACGTTTATTGGTTTAGTATTTTTTTAAATATTTTTCTGTTACGAGTTATAAAGAAAATTTTAAAGCCCGGGGATACAAAATTTATAATATATTATGTAAAAATATTAAATGTTTTTTTTGGTATATAATAAAGTAAATTTATTTCAACTTAAATTTTTTTTCTCAATTATTTTAATTAACATGAAATTTATGTATTTTTTCAGTAAAAAAACTGAATATTTTTAAAAAATGTGCTAACAACAATGTCTTAAAAATCAAATATTCAAATGTTATATTGCTATGTTAGTAGTGTTTAATAGTTTAATCAATTATTAAATAATAAAAATCATTTGGCACAAATTATAGCACCCTTTAAAAACTAAGTTATTGCTATATAAATATAAAAAAATTATATTAAATAAGAATTGTTTAGAACAAATTCTTTATCTGCATAACTTATTATAGGTAATTAACATTATATGTTAACTTTTTCAGGAGAAAAATTATCATATAATGCAAAATGTAAATACTAAAATCCAATCATAAAATATTATCATAGTTATAGATACACTTAAGTACAGGTGTGGATTGACTGGGATATCTGAGATGGTACAGCATCTCTTGCTTTAAAATATATTTGATGCTATCAGAATAAATATGTCTTAATTACTTTATTGTGCATTTTTAAGGCAAACATTTTAGTTCTTTGCTAGAGTAGTATGTAGAATGTAGATATATTATTTATAAAACAACTATAACATAACAACCATATAATATAATACATTTAAAATAGCCAGTAAGGAAATAGGTTATTTAGAGCAGCGTTCTTTATATATTTACTTTATTAATTTATTATTAATATAATGATGTTAAAATTAATTTTGAGACCCACATAAATAGTTTTATAAACTGCTTAATAATACACCAAAATAATTTATTTCTTTAATTAAAGAATAAAACAATTATTTTACTATGTCCTACAAGCTAGGTTGTAAGAACTTATCTCTTTAGTTCTGCTGAAGCATACATAATTAATAAATCATTTTAAATTAATTTTAATATTATTAAGTTTGCAGTAATTTCTTTAATCTGAAGAATTGTTAAATTTGTCAATGTTAATAAGTACTAAATATAATCACTTTTCTAATACTAATTATACAATAAAAAAATGTCAGAAAGTTTAGACTTGCACGGTAAAATATATATTAGGTAGAACTTTATGAGTTTAATGTTTAATGTTAATTAATATGTTTAGTAGTATTGTCTTAAGTAAACCTAAACATAATACAAAGTATATCATATAGATATATGATATAATTTTTAGTTTTATTTATTAAATAAAAAAATGTTTGTCTACTTACATTTCTTTCAATTTCTTCAAGAAATTCCAAATCATCATCCCCAAATTCTTCGTGTTCTGTATCTTCTTCATATTCTATATTTTCCATGTTCTATATTGAATGCTAAAATTATTAAAATTATGATCAAATTTTTCATCTCAAAAGTAAAACTTTAATAAATCAGTGTTTGAAAATTCAAACTAAAAAGCTAAATATGTAGATATTCCAAGAGCTAATTGGTGTTATTTAATAGTCTTATCTAAATAAAATAATATACAAATTGACTAAAAGGTTATGTAATCCATAAATCAAACTTAATAGTTATAATATTTTTTTAAAACTTCTATACACGAGTATTACTTTTAAAAAATAGTCAATATTTTATATAAGGTGAGCTGTAAGTTCAAACACTATTAAAATTAAAATTTTCTAAACAATTATACAATAAAATATAAAAATCTAGCAACAGTTGACAACTACTTTCTGAAAGTTTTAGTTAGCGATGTTGCTATAATCCATTTTTATATAACACACACAAAGTTTATTTTTACTTAGTACACTTAATTTGCAAATTTATTAAGGCTAACAAAAGATTTTTTGGTTAAATTCAACAGTTTTCAAGGTTGAATTTTTAAAAATTTTAGTTATGGTAAATTTATTATTTTTATTATTATTAGTTATTGTATTAGAGGTGAACATAAAGGTGCTGACTTGTGATGACTATTGTATTGAGTAGATGGTATAGATTTGTATTTATATCGTAATCGCTTAATTGGATTTGTGATATTTTTAAGGTAACTGATTAAATATTTAAGTATAATACCTGAGTATACAATCACAAAAAAAACTATCAATTTATTTTTACTTTTTACTGTACAAATGAAGATTTTTAAGTAATCAAATATTGTATAAATTTGATTAAATGTTTGTTGTTACTTGGTACCTATTTATATTTTTTCAAATATTGTAATATTTAAAAAATAATTTGTTTATTTTAAATTTGCACAACAAATTTTTGTTATTTTATACCAACCCACATCTGTGTAAGCACTTTAATAACTTCATAGTGAACATTTTTGAAAAAATATTTATTTAAATATCATTTACTTTTTTATCATTAAATTGTAGATAATTTAAGTATTCCTTCAAGAATTAAATCCTCAATTTACAACATTTATTTAAATTTATTTTACACAATTAAATAGAAGTTTCAAGTTTCAAACACTTTAATTAATTTAATGAGACAAATTACAACTAATGTAAACGCAATTCAGATTATCAAAAAAAACATTAGTTTTCTTTTACTTCAAAATCACATACATCACGTCGTTTAAATAGAGTTTTTGTACTCTACTCAATACTCACAAGTTATGGTCTGTATTGAAGCAGTAGTCAGCACTTATTCGCTGGTTTGAAAATGATAACGATCGAGTATAGTGATTCGTGCAACTGCGCGTCCAAAATTACCACATTGTCACACGTTTTCTTCGCGTCTATTCCGCGCGAGCACCGCTCCATACACGTTATGACAGACCTGTCGAACCCTTTATCGTTTTAGAATGTAATTTTTGATTACAACGAACAACAAACGAACGAGCTGGATTGCAATCGACAGGTGTTGGTGCTCCGGGAGTTCCTAGTTGCTAATCATCCGTAAATAAGTACCTATACTTAGGTAATACAATAATAATTTCTAATTACACAGAATAAATTAGAACTGAGAAAAACGAAAAAGTATAATTATTAAATGTACGTTCATTAATTTTGATGTGAAAATTAATAAACACAAGAATCGTAACAAATGACGAATAGCGCCATTAGCGGGGAGCGATGATGCGAGCAGCGCTACTGGTGGCTGGTCATGGGTAATTTTCTACCGCCATAGATGGTCGGTTACTCGGTTACTACCTGACGTACGCGCTAATGGACGTCGATCGGTGGAACTATACGGGGCACAAAACGCTCATCTCATGAAATATCAGTATGGTAATGCGGTAATGATGCTCGATCAGCTGATAGTTTTTGTTTATCCGTTATCCGAAGTAGGTATGAACTTTTGAGCAACATGAAAACGGGCCATCACGATTCACGATAACATTAGGATATACGTTTGTTTATTCGAGTTGTGGAAACGTTAACTGCTGCCGTTTACAAAGCCATAATCACTCGATTAGACCAAATAAAACCATGTCGTATAAGTCTTATCCTATAGATCTTCACTACTCTGTCTCCACACGAACACTCCAACCTGTACTGGTGAATTAAAGGGAAAATCTATTCCGTGAAAATTATTTTACTAATCCTAAAATATTATTTTTTTGAAGTGTTATTGAATATTTTGCGCTCAAGTTAGCAACTACTCAATAAAATAACTCAAATTTTGCACTAATTGAAAACGGTAAGTATATCATAATATAAAACTCAATTTAAAAAAATGTACATTTTTTATCTAGGTATTAAGTTAGTTTTCGATTTTATTTCTAACAATGTTAACAATATTTTCCACATCAATATCCAATGGGCGTATTTAATTAATTGTATGAATGATTGAATGAATAGCTCTTTGGAAAAAGTCCCATTGTTCCGTCGGCACGGTCCGCCAATGGTTCCACCAGCCACGCCCACGCCCTAACTCGAATGAATTCGTTTCATTTACTCCGTGTGGAGATAGAATGACGATCCACTAAACTACGCGTCTGTTAATACCACCGCGACCCGCGTTTATCAACTATAGCCAACGTAAGGGATCATAGCACCTATAACACACGCACTCTAATTCTACATTCAATGTCTACAATTCTTACCGATACCTTACCATAAATCAACTAAATACTATAATATTATAGTTATAAAAGTACCGTTATCTACCTTCGTATATGTGTGATGATATACATTTGACTTTTTCAACATTGTATTCCTTGAATATCGTTATATTTTGTAAAGTTAAATTGTAATTAATAATCAATAATTCGATGTACAGGTATTAAATATAGTTATGAGTCCGCACTGATATTATTGATATTAATTTGTAATATCTGTAGAATTTATTTTTGCCAATTTTTGATGATCGATCTTATCGCTTTAATACGAACCGATCATAGTCTTCGTTCACATTATACGTATAATATTATGTATACGTATTACGTATGTGTGTTTACGCTTTGCGGTCAAACGATCCACGGGCGATTTTTAATTATTTTTAAATTGTTTTCAGTTGTTAGATATACGTCCTGACAGTCGGTCGTTAATCGATTCAGATGAAAAATGAAGACGAATGTTATTAAATGTTACTCCTACATATTATACTCGAATTTATAATATTACGTGAAAAATCTCATTAACATCGACAAGTGCTTTGATTTATCGACCATGAAGTATAGGTCTTGTAATCCAATGAAGTGTTGACACTTGACGTCTAGTTTTTTATAGACTCTACAATTATTTTTATGACATCTTCTAACGACAAAATTGTTCTATTACAGTGAAGCGTGATAACTAACGTTTTTCTGTAAAGTATGGTATTAGTATTAAATAGCCAATTCAAAAATTTGATACCCGGATATACCCTGAATCCGCTTATTGCATCTACATTCACCATCCGACATCACACCAGTCCACCTTAAGAAATATAAAAATTTTTTTAATCAATCCTTTGCGTTCCATTTATTTGTATTTATCATAGCCTGAGGGCGCCACACTTTAGGAGTGGCATAATTATATCAAATAAAATAAACAAAAAATTATTATTTTTCTTTGTAAAAAGAAATATTTATCACAAAAATGATTATACATTTTATTATTATTTTTTTTAAATTCATATAGATAATTTTGTTGATATTGAATCAAGTAAAAATTTGTAAAACTAACAATAAATATTATTATATTACTATATTATTATTATTATGTATTACATATTATTAATTGAATATTATTCATTATAATGTGTATTATAGTACATTCTAGGTAGATAATATTTAGATTATAAATTAGTTACTTGTGTATTTCTTGTATAATATACCTACTATTGAAAATGTATAAAGAATGTTAAGGGCATAAATATTGTGCCCCGAGAGTGCAAAATCTCTAAATACAGCCCTGGTATTTGTACCTACGCGAAATATGAACATTCTTACGCTATTAATTTTACGAAGATCGCAATTAACCTTTCAGAGGGGAGTGAACATCACACCAATCCCTATTTAAGAAATATGAATTATTATTTATAATAATTTATATTATATGATATTATAATAAAATAATACTAATCAAGACACTGATGATTTTTATTACATATGAGTATAACGCAATTGTTTTTCATTTCACGACCGTCAAAAATTTAGCTTAGTAAAACTGTAAAAGTAAACACAAAGTAAATATATGGAAAATTTTTGATTAATAGAAGTTTTTGAAGTTTTTCCCAACATATATTTAAAATATTTAGGTGTTCAACGCAACAAATCAACTTATTAAAAATACATTAATTTCTTTAGCGGTAAAATTATTTAATAAAAGTATAATTTAATAATAATCGACTACTATTATTTATCGGATTGTAAATTTATATTGTATATTTGTTCATGCATATGTTTTGGGATATTTTTGTTGTTTTTTTTTTATCTTTAATTATCACAATATTACCTACTATATTTAAATAACTATATCAATAAGAAGTAGTCAAGTAAAATAAAAAAATACTCAGAAAACCAATAAGAAATAGAATAATATTTATAGAAAGTAATATAAATCAATTAAATAATAATAAAATCACAATTAAAGATTATGTTACACGTTTTAGCCAATTAATATAAATACAGAAAAATTTTAATTTACATAATTAACGATTTGAATTATTTTTATATGATACCTAATTACTTGAAAAACCACTTTTAATAATTAACTGTGGTGTGAAAAGGTAACACGAATTGCGTTTAGGACCCAATTCGTTCAAAAAGGTTCATTGACCAGTTTTGAGACGCAATTCGTGGGCGCTCATTAATACGTGCGTAATCCAAAAGGCGCCGGAAGAGCACCGTTGGTGAATTGTCAGTCGTTAGTCGAGTAACACCTATCCAAGGAATGACAATCGCATTACAAAACAGTTGTTCAACAAAAAGTTGCTCGCATTCGCCCGCACTTAATGTAACCTTAGGGATCAGGCCCTCTCTAATGTAAATACGATAAAAAATTTTAATTCTTTAGCGCATAAACTATAAAGCAACAAAAATAAGAAAATATAAATCTTTAGTACCTTTATTTTAAAGTTAATTAATTTTGCAATCATATATGTATATATTATATATTATTATATTCACAATTCTTGTAACATTGACTGACACACTAGTTAGATTTTTTTAACTTATTCTTTTGAGCATTGAATTATTTTGTTAATTTGTATTTATTACGATTAATCAGAGATATTACAAACTTATCACTACAGTATTACTAGTTATTACATTCAAAGTTTTTTGCCATTTCCGTTCACATTCGAATTAATTGTCGAACACCATTCACTGTCGCTTAAGATGTCTTCTATTTAACGGGCAGAACACACATCGTCGTGACCATAATCATTGCGTGTAGCACTGTAGTTACGTCCATTGTCATCAACAACCACGCTCGTTGAAGTCGTTGTTTTCGTTATAAATTTTATAAAATAGTTGAATAATATTATTATACATAATCATAATCGCAAATCGTATCCATGGTTAGTTTTTTTACACACGTTTTCGTCCATTATTTTATTATTAAGTTTTAATAATTTTATACGAGTTAATTAAATTAGAATTCAATATTTTACGCGATGAGTTTATTTAAATAAATTTATTATTTTAATCTTGAAGACTGAAGTTGGTTTTTACATCGATTGTGAATATATAGTAAATGCCTATGATATCCATGAGTATTCTTTTAAGTATGTACTCATTTTAATTAATCAATTTTGTTCCTATACAATTATTTATGCCTATCTGCAGTGTAGTCATTAGGACTACGCGCCTACTGCCTAGGTAAGGCAAACATTTAACTATTTGAGTAGGTATTTCAAATCCAATATTATTGTGATTTGACACATGGATAAATTACAGTCAGTGTTTATGCGGCTTGCATAAATATATGCATATTAAAAAAAAATAATGCTTCAGATATCTATACTAAACCAACTACATTTTAATTAGTTTAAATATGCTTAAACACATCCGATTGTATTTAAATATAATTAAAAAATATATATGTTAAACTAGGTTATCTATTAAATGTATTAGATTAGAGGGTATTATATATTATAGGTGTATAATAATATATTAATATATATAACTATATATAACTCTCTTTTTAAAGTACCAACCCACAATACATCCTATGGACAAAATCATCCCCTACATAGGATGCTCCGTAAACTAAATAATGTTGATTTTGATTTTTAATATTTATAAATGTATTGGTTATAACTGTTATAGGTACTTAAGTTTGCTGTACTTAATCATTACATTACTATTATGTTTATATAAAGTTTTATTTTCTATATATTCTGTACTATTATATGTTATAAATATTTACTACTTATACATAAAATTCCAAAATATGTAATCATAAAATTTCCAATTGGTGTTTATAAATAAATAATAATGATGATAATAATAATATATATATATTTATCATATTATGTAATAGACTTTTTTTATATTAGACGTTATATAGATTAAACTAAGTAGAATCATTTTCTACTCGAATTATTTTTCGTTAAAAGAGCACTTGTTTTGAACTTCTATTCTTTAACCAGTACATTTCATTAATCACAATTTATATATAGCTGTATAGCATTTAATATGGTATAAGAAAATAACTTTTTATTTTTACTTTTTAATATTCAACAGTATTTATTAATTACCCACAGATTTTTAAAAATTAGTATTAAAATTTCTTATCAATCTTAGTTAAATAAATGACAATTAACATTTTTAATTTCATATTCCAAGTAGGTAGCTCATAAGTTATATATTATAATTTATAAGTATTTAAAGCTTAGATAATTGGAAGGAGTTGTACAGAGGTAGGTACGTCTTAGCCAACAAAATTTTTATCCACTACTCTGCTCATTAAGCTTATAAATATTCTCATTAAATTGTTACTAAATATCTTTTTTTCATTTTATTTAACAGAAAAAAATTATCCTAAAACATCTTTAAATTTTTTAAATTTTAGAATCAAATTACAAGTATTAGTCCCAATTATTTTTATAATAATTATTGTCAGTTGTTACCATAATATTATGTATAATTACCTTTTACCTGATAAATACTACTTGGCATATAAATATAAAACTTAATTCTAAAATAATATAAATTTAATTTACAAATCTGAAAGTTGTAAGTACTATTGTAAGACTTTTAATAGCTTGGATTCATACTTTTCTATTATTTTATGATCTTTCAATTTGTTCAAAACTTATGCTTATATTAAACCCAGTAAGTACGTAGCCACGTAGGTACCTAAAATATAATATTATGATGATTTATTTATTCAAATTTGTATATTTTACACTTAAATAATTGTATTTATAAAAATGATAGTCTTCGTACGAGTATATTTCAAAGTATCAACATTGTGCCAACCGCCTATACTATACACATACTATTATCGAATTACCGGCCTTATTTATTTAAAATAAGTACACATTACCTGACACTTCTTTTATATTCAATAACGTATTTCCAAATAAATGCATTTATTTATATTTATAGTGATGTTTAAAAACATAGAATTATAACATCATTTTGTATTCTAATATAGTATTATTATTATTCTTTAATTCTTATTTTTTTATTATATTATTATTTTTATAGACAAACCTAACAGTTATTTTATAATAATACACAAGTTAATAAAAGATTAACAATAAATCATACTCAATATATATATAACCAAAGAGATGATCAATAATTCTGAATGTGATGGATCCGTACCAGAAAATTGTATTTGTCCCAGATGCAATGTTCATATGAATAAAATAAAAAAACCTCAACTATTTGATACTCGCAAAGAACATAATACATTTTCATCAGATGGCATTAAAGAACGCCGATGTTCTATAGATCGTTTACAAACTGTTCGTTCCAATATGCATAAAACAAGGAATCATAATTCGGAAAAATTACTAGAATTAAATCCCTATTTAATTTTGGATACTGATCCAACATTGAAAAATTTAAACTTTTCAAATCCATTATCCAGATATCCTCATTCATTTGGTAAGTGGTAAAAGTAATTTGTAATTAGTTTATCAAATTTTTTTATTTAAAATCATAATTTATATTATTGGTTAGTTATCTGACATATATATCGCAATCTGGAAACAGAATATTATATATCTAAAATGTAATACAAATTAGACACTATAAAATTAAAATAAATAAAATACATTATAAAATATCTATTATTTTTAAGGCGATAAAAAGAAAAATAATACAACACAATCTAAGTATGAACTAGAACAGAATGGTAGACGCGATGATCCGTTTCAATATCATAATAATTCAAAACAATTGTTAAAAAATAATGAGAATCATGTAGATCAAGAGGACTTAAAAAAAATTGATCTATTTAATCATGCGTCAATTAAGAAGTACGATATGCATACAAAACAGCCATCTGTTAATCATCAATGCGAGGTAAGTATTTTAGAAAAAATATTTTTTTTATTCTATCTGTTATGTTATTATTCTTTAGATATTACCGACGGTTCCTTCGAAGTCTCTTCATATGTCTACAAGTTATTCGCAAAAAAAAGAATGCTCATCTACAACCATAAATTGTGATTTGAATATTACAATTAATCCTAAGAATAAAGATATTATGGATATTCCACATCAGAAAACGCTTGTCAACCATTTACAAACAGCTACATTTATGCCTGTAGAATTAAAAGAAACATTGAAACCAATGAAAATTATTAAAGATACATCCAAAGTAAAAGAATCATTAATGATTATTAAAGAAGACAAACATATTATCGAAAAAACAAGTCCAAATCCAAAATTAATACTTAATAGTGATATCAATGAAAAACAAAAATCAAAATCATCTGATAAAAACAATAAAGTATTAACTCCTAAAACTAGAAAGCAAACTGATAATGTAAATAATACATCCGTGTTTCCTGTTAAGTAAGAATAAAATTAGTTAAATAATTAAATATTTTATTTTTCAATCCAATTATTGAATTATTTTATTTTAGTTCATTAAGAACGCACGTGGATTTAACATCGGAAAGTAAATATTAACCAACTCACAATCATACGTACTATGTATTTTTTTTATATTAAATATTTTATATACCATTTCTATAATAGATGCTCGAATAAGCTTAGAATCTCCGGTAGACGTTAGTATAAGAACAGAACAAGAGTTTATGATTAATGAACCAAATAAATTAACTTTCGACCGTTTGTTTTCAAGTATTATACTTGTTTTAAATACAAATTTAATAGAAAAAAATTTAACATGTACCAACCAATAGACAGTATACTTATGATAATTTTCAATGAAAACTTACAGGTACTCCAAAACAAAAAGATAATTTTGAATATCATTCAGCCTTAAGACCAAGTTTATTTTCTAATATGCCACCATACATACGATTTTCTTCACATGATATTAAAGGTACCGAATGTAAAAAAAAAAAAAAAATGCCCCAATTTTTTATTTTTATTTTAATACTTACTTACTCAGTTGAAAATTATTAATTTTTCAATTGCTATTATTATTGCAGGCGAATCTTTTCCATTATCGTTACAAAAGTTATTAAAATGGAAATTAAGTTCTATAACACCAATTATTGTCCGTCGAACTATTCAAAATAGTGGTTTTAAATTCGTAAGAAGTGAACATTGTTTAGTTCAAAATACAACTGATCCTTCTATCGTATCTAATCAATCTAATGCCGTTTCTTTACAAAATCACTGTGGTGTTACACCTCCTATTATTGATGCTTTCTGTGGTGTAGCTCCTCCGCCTAATGAATTAATGATGTTACCCCGATCACGTGAATATATATTTATACTTTTTCTTTTTGTATTATATAAATGTTAATAGTACTAACTAATGTTTGTTTTCTTTATTATTATTTTTAAGAATCGAATGATTGGGTCGGAACTTGGGGTAAACATATGAAATCGTTAGGTTTTAAAACACTTTGGGAACAGCAAAAACTTAACCATTTTCCGGGTACTTTTCAAATTGGTCGTAAAGATAGGTTGTGGAAAAACTTGCAACGTTTAATGTCAAAATATGGTAAGGAACATTTTGGCTTTATACCCACATCATATATATTACCTCAAGAAACCAGACTTTTACGACAAGTTTGGGAGAAAAATGATGAAGATAAATGGATTATTAAGCCGGTATTATTTTTTAATTTGTTTCTTAAAATAATGATTAAACTAACTTTTTATTTTTTTTTTATACAGCCAGCATCAGCTAGAGGATCTGGAATTCGTGTCGTATCAAAATGGGCTCAAGTACCAAAGAAAATTCCTTTAGTTGTACAAAGGTACATAGATAATCCATATTTAATCAATGACACCAAATTTGATTTAAGACTTTATATACTCATCACTTCAATCAATCCACTTCGTCTATACCTCTATGATAATGGGCTTGTACGATTTGCTTCAGGTATAGCAATTTTTGTAATACGATTAAATAGTATTGTTTATTATAATTTTTAATATTTCAGTTAAGTATTCATCTGACCTTAGCACTATATGTGATCGATATATGCATTTGACAAACTACAGTATTAATAGACTTAGTAGCCAGTATACTGAAAATGAAGATGCTAATGCATGTCAAGGTCATAAATGGTAAATATATTGTATTAAATGTATTTATTTTAGATTCAATGTTGGGCTTTATATAATTTTTTAAATATGATGATTATTAATTAATTACGATAACTTAGGACGTTACGATCATTATGGACGTATATGGAGAACGAACTCAAAGTTGACGTTAAAAAATTATGGAAAAGCTTAGAAGATCTAGTCGTAAAAACTGTCATTAGTGGTGAATCACCAATGAGTCAAATGTGTTATTCAAATCTGAGTAATAGATATAACGCTTATGAGTTGTTTGGAATAGATGTACTGTTCGATGAATATCTTAAACCTTGGATATTAGAGGTAAGTGTCTGATGAAAATTACATGTTTGTAACATTGAATAGTAAAATATGTACAATGTTAGGTCAATATATCTCCTTCATTGCATTCATCTTCTCCGCTCGACTTGGCTGTAAAAGGACCTTTGATTAAAGACCTAATGAATATGGCTGGTTATCGTATCCCAAATAAAATGTCTCGCAGTACACATGTGAGTTATAATACATTATAAATCAATATAAATCTGATTTAATAACTAATTTCAAAAATCAACTTTTTGATAAATTAACATTTTTCTTTAGAGTACTTTACTAAAGATGTTAGGAGTCAAATCAACACTATGTTATGATAAGAGATTATATACATTAAATTTATCTGCTAAAGAAAAAGAAAAACAAGAATATTATACAAATATTGAATCCAGGGCAGAAGTATACCAAATCATTAACTATTATTATTGGTATAAATTAATTTTAAACTTATATTTTTTTTTAGTATATTGATAGCATATTAGAAGATTTATTACCAGATGATATTCGAAATCTAATTATTTATGAAGATGAACTTACTCAAATAGGCTCGTATGTATTTTATTAACACACTTGTAACTTAACACAGTGGTAACCAAGCGGGCCGGATAAATGATCGCGGATCGTACTTGGTCACTACTGGCTTAAAACGTAAGACAAAAACATATTACTCAGATTATTATGATTTTAGATTTCAAAAAGTATTTCCAACCACTTCATCTTATAAATACCATCAATACTTTGATAGCTCCAGATATTATAATATGCTTTTAGATGCATGGGAATGTAAATATAGTAATAAAAGAGGAGAAGGTAAGAACTATTATTAAAAACTTGATGTACATACTAATTCATTACAACAGTATGAAAATAATATAATGGCAATTTTATTTCCAAGGTATTGCTGTGCTAGAAAAATTATGTCAGTTAAAAATTCACCTAGAAGTGCCAGAAATTAATGAACAACCAAAAGTAACATTCAATATTAAGATATAATTAATATTATAGTATTTGTATACCTAAGAAAAATACTTAATTTAACAATTTTATGATTCTACAAAATTTAAATGGTTTTAAAATTAAATATTTATAGTTTTATTTTTAATTTATTAAAAAATAATAATTGATCAGTTTCTTTTTCTATAAAATATAGATTCAGATAGTATTCAAATATAATACTATTTTTAAATTTAATGCATACCTATTAATTTCTCACAGTAATTTATGCTGTTAGTTTATAATATAAAGATATTTTTTTGTAGTCTTATTTCAAACCAAAAAGGATTATAATAATGTACATATATTCAAAATGTGTTATAACAATAAATTAATGAAAACATTTACTTATTTTTTAAACTTTCAATTTAACAGTTTGTCAATAACTAATTAATAATTGAAAATAGCATACAATCTTTAGATATTTTTAGTTTTAAGCAAATAAATTAACATACATATCTACTTTAAATATTAGTTTTTTATGTACTTTTGTCTTTTTTGTTAGACTAGCGACATCCTCCAAGATACACAAGTAGAAACTGAAAAAATATTGGAAAAATCAGGTGGCGATAAAATAACTGACATTTATCAAGCGGTCGTCAAGTAATCTGATAACTGACCATGTACACTTAAATATAAATATTATGTACACAAATATAATTAATGCCACATAATTTTATTTGATCTTTTATTTTTATTGTATATTTGATTTATGTAAATGTTGGCTTTTACTAAGTTCTAGACTTTCTATGAATTATTTATACCTAAAACACAGGAATAACTGCCGGCTGCCAATATCACTAATAAACAAACGGATCGAACACATATTTTGCAAATCTCTTTTGTTTGGTGTTGGTAACTCAATAACAAAAATGACTTTTAAATCGTTTTCGACAATGAGAATATTAATTTGTATCTGTGTATATGTCTGAATAAAGAACCGTAGTAATTATAATACCAAGAAACGATTTTTTTAGCATAATATTTTTTATTATTTAAAAATAATTTTCTTATGTATACACAAAAAAAAAAAAAAAACTATAATTAATAGCTTCCTACTTTATCTTAACAAATAATTGATTGATTTGTTACGAGAGCATATTAACAGTTTTTTTTTTTTATGATTATATGTAGGTATAACATGTTTTTGATATAATATTATACTAATGAAGTGTTTCAGACTCCGACCTTTGTGTTTTTTCATATTTGTCTATCAGTCATTTTTCTTAATAATTGCCTAGTGTTTTAATTTTTTATAAGCAATAAGAAGAATATAATGAACCAATAAAAAATAGTTTAGTACTTATTTGAAATATGTGATTGTCTTACAAACCAATGGCCATTTTCAACCAAAAACGTACTCTTTCCTTTTCGACCGATTCACTTTTCGATCAAATTAAAAAAAACACCAATTCCCTTTTCGACTAAAACAAAATTTTTTAGAATATTTGTAAAAAATAAAATAATTAGTAAATAATTTTTGTAAAATTAGGGCAATTATATAATTATATAACTTTAAAAATGAATAAAAATACAAAACACATACAATGTTGTAAAATAAAACGTAGAAAATTATTTAAAATATAAAAATATCTATAAATTTACATCATTTTATGTTAATATGTCACAGTATGTAATGTGTATAATATTATAAAAAAAATAAAATTTGAATCATATAAGTAGGTTTGTGACATATTAACATAAAGTGATGTTAATTCATAGATATTCTTATATTTTAAATAATTTTCTACATTTTATTTTACAACATTTTATGCTACTTATATTTTAAATAATTTTCTACATTTTATTTTACAACATTTTATGCTACTTATATTTTTAATAATTTTCAAAATTATATAATTATACAATTACCCTAATTTTACAAACAATTATATGCCAATTATTTTATTTTTTACACACATTACATAAAATTTATTTTGGCTGAAAAGGGAAGAGTACGATTTTGGTCGAAAAGAGAATCAGTGTTTTTTCAAATTTGATCGAAAAGTGAATCGGCCTAAAAGGGAAGGGTACATTTTTTATCGAAAACGGTCATCTTGCTCGTATCTAATACTTATGTACTTATGCACTTATCTACCATTGTAATAATAAACAGTATTTTAAAAAATACTTTTATTTATTTAAAATACTACTCAATAATACTTATTACGTAATATAGTGTACTAGCTAGTTTATGGTAATTTATATTTGTTTATTAAATAATTATTGTATACTGCACTTCAAAAACATGATATTTTCCAGGTTATCATTCGTTTTTGGTTCTTTTTTTATCACGGTCACTAAATCCGCACTAAATAAAATAATTATTGTAGTGAGCAATCATATTTTTTTCAACTTAATTTTTTGAAAAAAAAATAATAATAAACGATAATATTCAATAGTTAAAAAAAAGCATTTAAAATACTATTAAAAACATTGAAATCCTGAAAATATTAAAAAAAATTTTGAATACTTTTAGTTTTTACTCAAGTACATATATTTTACAGCGCTGGTAATAAGTATATAGCTAGAATTTAGTAGTATATATACAACGAATTTACTTAAATTAAAAAAAAAAAATTACCTAATTTTTAATTAATTTAAGTTAAATATCTTTAAACTTTTAGAGTTATTTAGTAAATATTTACTTATATATTGTAATAGCTATAAAGACAATTATTTAAGCATTGATTGAATTAAACTAACTCAAGTTAGCAATCTACCATTGGGCTTTGGTAGGTAAATGTTAAAATAAAAACCAATAATTACATACAATTCAAACAGAAAAAGAATATTTAAGATTATGTTTAACAAATATATATATATATTATATAATGTAAAATACTATAAATTAGAATTTAAACAAGGTAGTGATAGTTGCTCTCCTTGTCAGGAGGAAGAGGCCGATAGAGACGAGTCATGCTCGAAATTAACTATTTTAATGCTTTATTATATTCAATACTATAGCATAGATTTATTGAATTCTTTTAAAATGATAATTATACCATGGAAATATTATAATAGCAATTAAATTTTAATATTTAAAATAATTATTTCTTCACAAAATATGTGTGAAAGAGCTTGCAGTGTTGCTTGTGTAAACTTGTATTGGCAAATTTAATTTAGATAAAAAATTAATCTTTTAAAAACATTTACCAAACAAAGTTCAGTTGAAACCATATTTGATGTATCATATAATATATACGTCATGATGTTTGTTAAAAGTCAATTGTCAACATATATTTTTTTTAATATTTAAGTTAAATTCATCAGAAACAAATAAATATTTTAATTATAGTTATAAATTATAATAACCACTAAACTTGGTAGAAGAAAAATTTTTAAAATTTATAAAATAGGTACTAAATTTGGGTAAAGGAACCCTTTCAATATTGAAGTATACCTTGAAATATATGAATTTTGTCTATTACATTTATACTAGGTACCTATAAGTGTATAACAAACTAAATTTGTTGCTGTTTTAAACTATTTTTTTGAAATTATAATCAATATACATTTTTTTTTCATTCCTTCTTTTTAATTATTTGATAAAATTATCTGTATGTTATTCTTTATGTATCTATAGTTCTGTTATAAACACATTTGTTTAAAAACTTCAAGTTTCAACCTGTAAAAAATAAACAATTACCATTTCAAACTATTTTCGTATACATATATCGATTATGGATGTGTAGGATTAAATATTGTAATGAATAATTATAATGCATACTATTTTGTTGATAATCGGTAAAAAAAATTAAATAATACGAAATGTGTTTTTACTTATTTTTTTTGGTTTAAAATTTAAAACGTTTAAAATTATAAATAGTTAACATGCTATATGCTAAAAAATATATGTCTTTCTCTTCAATTAAATAATTATTACTTATTAGTAGTTATTACAATTTACAATAATCCATATAATAAGTGTGACTTTAGCACTTAGCACGTCACCTTCACCACATTAAAACTAAATACTGTCATATTGGCAATATAATTAAGCAACTTGGCTATTATAATATATCTATACTAATTACTATTTAATTATACTTGTTTAAATAATTTATTATTAAAACCATTGAGTTAGAGTATTAGGCTTCTAATACGTTATTTAAAATTATAAATGTAGTCTTTTCGCGTTTTTTTTATTGTACCCTTGTAGTATTTTTTCTTAGATTTGATTTTGTTATAAGTAGGTAGGTAGGTACACACATCTGTAATAATTATTTTACATTTTTAATTTTAAAGTAAGTACAATATACCTAAAAATATAATATGATAAACTTCGTGTATTGCTTTCTGTAGTTCTGTTCGTATATAGCTTGGCTACAACTGAATTAGGTATACCTATATACATCATTTAATACAAAAATTAAACTAAATCAAATTGTATTAAAGTAACCATTAAAATACCAAATAATTTATTAGGTAACATTATAAAACATTAATTTTAGCGCTGAAACCGAAACCTACCTGCATAATGCCAATAAAAAACGCACTCGATTGTTTAACCATCAATAATGATTTTTTACCAGTGTTGGTGTCAAACAGAAAGAAGGAAGATATTTTAGACTATGAATTAAAGAAAAGATTAAAAAATACAAGAATAGATTAGGTATAAATATTAAATACAACAAAATGGATAATACTATTAACGTTTCGTAATTAAGATACATTTACGATTACACATCACCATGATGCTAGTAATATTATTACTAGCATAATCAATAATATTTGAGATAATTCACCAAACATGCTCATTTATAGTCACCTCATATTATATTTTAAAATTAATTTATTCAAATGTTATAATATAATTTAATACCTATAATTTTTAGGTACTTCAATGTTTTATCAAGTAGGTATGTATTTAGAATTGTATTGTCTTTATTGGCTATTTATTATTAGTTAATTTGAAAAATCATAGGTACTCAATACTACTTGATAATTTTATTTAATTGCATTAATTTATCCAAAATGTATAAGTTATTTCAAAAATATGGAACAGATCAATATAATAAAAATATTGTTCTATTTTAATTTATATAATTTCTCTGCATTTTTTCTTTATTTATAATATGTTATTTTGAATTGTTATCACGGATGGTTTGTCTTATTATTTTTTTAGCACTGCTTATTGTACCACCAATATGTATAGATTTAAAAATATACACACACACATATATATATATATTATATAAATAATAAAAAATTACAACTCCATTACTTCTAAAAATAATAGTGATATTCTTTGCAATAGTAGGTAGGTATAACTTAACTCTTTTTTTATAACTATTATATTTTTCTTTAATATTTGATTCTTATATTTCTTATTATTTTGAAATAAAACTCCATTTGAACTGAAAAATTATGATTATATTATCTACATTTCTTAGGATTTTCTATATTATCATAGATGACAGAAAATTGTCTGGGGATTGAGCAATTCCTAAAACAATTACAATTACTAATAAAAAAAATTAAAAAATACATCAGAAATATGTAGTTAAAAAAAAAACATAGCTTTTGTAACAAAATTTTAAAATTAAATAATTAATTATATTATTTTTCGTTTGAGGAAATTTTTGTCGAAAAAATAATTCACCA